AAATCAAAATTAAAACAGGAATTAAAAAAATCAAGTAAAAATAAGAAAAAGCACCAAAATCATGAACATATGTGTGTGTATCCATACACCCATATACACATGCACATACACACACACACACACATACACGCACATACGTAATGTCTCTAGACGGTAGATAGTCTAGGAAAGTGATGAAAATAAGGTAAATTTTTAATAAAGATATTGAATTTATTACTTTAGTATATTAGTGACATTTGTAAAAGTATAAAATTGTAGCAGTACTGCCGTTGTTTCTGAGAAAAAAAAATCACCCTGATACGTTTGTTTATTTCCATGAAAAGTTAAGTTCTTTGAATTGACACCCACTACTTTGGTGCTGTAACTAGTAGAATAATTCAGTCTAGCCAGTGTAGGTGCAATTATTTACCCTATTGGAAGATTCCATTATTTGTAGAGGGTGTTTACTGTATCATCTATTGAAAAAGTCAGGAATGGTGTTTTTACTACCATATATTTTCTATTAAACAAAATAATAATTTTTAATTTGTACATGAGAATTCCTGTGTTATAAATACAATAATTATAATTGAAATACAATAATTATAATTTATTTTTGTGTGTTAGTAGATAAATGGGTGAAGGGCTAGGGTGAATAGAGAGTGAACACTTTGCATTTTAGATGTGTCACGTTTCTGTGCTCCCGTCATGTTTCTATGCTCTTGTCATTTGCATAAAAAATACATAATTGCACATGAAAACATACAATTTCTTAAAACATTTCCTATTGAATTTTGCTTGGAACTGAACCACCTGAGATTTTTTTACATCATACATAGTTCCCACCAGATTAACAAAGTTTAAAGCAAAATTGTTCCCAATTAATATTGAGATTGGAGAGTATCTTTGGACTACCGTACCTTGTAGACTTAAGTTGGGTAGTCAAGCGGTACGACATGGACTTCGCTACCTCCAACTTTTAATTGTTGCAGGTTTGAACTGTCTAAACCGCACTCTCCCAGCATATCCTTTGAGAACAGTGTTGGGTTATACTGGTCCATCCGACCTCTGTCCATGCAACAGCATATCTGACACAAAGCGGCTATACTGCTATGTAAAAATACTGTCTCTTATACACATCTAGATGTGTATAAGAGACAGGTGAGACAGTTGATAATAATTTAGTAAAAACTTGCAAATATTATGAATATGCGGGAGATGGGTTATTTTCCAGGAGATTCTTGCTATTGGGAGTGCGGGAGGCCGTCCCAATTTCTGGGACTTCCGGTAGACTTGGGATCCCTGATAATTGAAAAAGAGGGTAATTTATTTATTTATTTATTGACACTTCACCTTTAGAACAGTGGCACACACAACTCTTGTGGTGCGGTCTAACAACAATAACAACTAAAATACAAAAGTAACAACCAGTACAAAAACAAATCATATAAAGAAAAGCAAATTAACCAGGAATGCAAAAAAAAAAAGCCAGTAGCTTAACTCAAAAAGTTTTAACTACAGTATGGGCTTAAATTTTGAAAAAGTATACTAATGGTACAGAATCAATACGTAAAAAAAAATAAATCAAAATTAAAACAGGAATTAAAAAAATCAAGTAAAAATAAGAAAAAGCACCAAAATCATGAACATATGTGTGTGTATCCATACACCCATATACACATGCACATACACACACACACAATGATATAGGGCCTACACGCACACACATACACCCACATGTACACATACACACACTAGTACCCACATAACTCTTATGCAATGAAATGAACGCAAAACCAGCCCTATCATGAGTTCAACGTTCGTAACAGTTCACGCCGCCTTTGTGTTAAACTGCAGCACAGTGATAAAACGTTCCGACAATCGGAGCATGAAAAAAAAACTGGGCCTGTTGCCAAGGATACTTTACTTCAGAATCCTGGCTATGTTTGTGTTCTCTGACTTCCTTCTAGAGTACAAACTACAATCTGCTCTTCATAAAACGTTTAAAAAAAAACGTCAGGAGATTCGTAATGCTAACCAACATTGATTTTAAGTACTGATTGTAGTGTAGTATTAGCTGGCTGTATTTGTTCTACCTCTTCTGCCAGGGCTTTTGAATGCCCATGCTAGGTAGGTGAATGTGATATTTATCTTAAAATACATTGAATATATAAAGCCTTATGCCCATACTAGGTAGGTGAAGGTGATTTTTATCTTAAAATACCTTGATAATATAAAGTATTTTATTACTTATTGTTATGATAAACTACTTGTTTTAATCATAATCTTTCACTCACTTTCAAATTGCCTGGTTGGATGTCAAGGATGAGGGGGGGTCGAGGTCCAGCAGGAGAGGATCGGGATTTCGGGCTGGGGTACAGGGACTTCGGGGGTCGGGGAGCTATGATAGTAGTGGAGGAAAAAATTGTGATTTCCAGCCCTGTATGACTATATCATATTTATTTAATTGTTTGATTTATACAAGTAGCGTAGTATGTAGTTGGTGTAGGCTAATTAATATAATGCAAGAATAAGGCCAGCACATAATTTATTTCCATATTCTTAAAGTTAATGCTAGAATGCTCCCTCAGTAATCACCACAAAAATGTGGTATAAATGATAGGTTTCTAATGGGTAATTAACCATTGCCTATTATTTTAGTTGTAATTGTTGCTGTAGTAGTTGTACTAGTATGATATGAAAATATTATATTATATTTTTTTTATATGTTTTAGTAGTAGTAGTTGTTGTTAAAGTACATCATTGATTTTGGTGATTATTCTTGCAAAATTTTTAAAAGGGATGATTAAGTTTTATCAATGTTTTTCAACTAATGTTTTCCTATATTTTGCAGAAATTTAGATTCTTTAGACTGTAATAGAGGGCAGTAAATCAAGGAAGATTTCCCTTTGATATTTTCCCCATTGAGATTATTCTATAGTACCAGGGTCCCAAGAAGAAATCCCTTCCAAGGAGATCTCTTTAAATGAGCTTCCTTTACTGTACTGTGTATGGCGATACCCATCGGCATTAACTTAAGTGAGACAGTTGATAATAATTTAGTAAAAACTTGCAAATATTATGAATTTGCGGGAGATGGGTTATTTTCCGGGAGCTTCTTGCTATTGGGAGTGCGGGAGGCCGTCCAAATTTCTGGGACTTCCGGTAGACTTGGGATCCCTGATAATTGAAAAAGAGGGTAATTTATTTATTTATTTATTGACACTTCACCTTTAGAACGGTGGCACACTCAACTCTTGTGGTGCGGTCTAACAACAATAACAACTAAAATACAAAAGTAACAACCAGCACAAAAACAAATCATATAAAGAAAAGCAAATTAACCAGGAATTTTGAAAAAGTATACTAATGGTACAGAATCAATACGTAAAAAAAAGGAAATCAAAATTAAAACAGGAATTACAAAAATCAAGTAAAAATAAGAAAAAGCACCAAAATCATGAACATATGTGTGTGTATCCATACACCCATATACACATGCACATACACACACACACATTCACGCACATTCACGCACATACGTAATGTCTCTAGATGGTAGGTAGTCTAGGAAAGTGATGAAAATAAGGTAAATTTTTAAGAAAGATATTGAATTTATTACTTTAGTAGTGACATTTGTAAAAGTATAAAATTGTAGCAGTACTGCCGTTGTTTCTGAGAAAAAAAATCACCCTGATATGTTTGTTTATTTCCATGAAAGATTAAGTTCTTTGAATTGACACCCACTATTCTGGTGTTGTAACTAGTAGAATAATTCAGTCTAGCCAGTGTAGGTAGGTGCAATTATTTACCCTATTGGAAGATTCCATTATTTGTAGAGGGTGTTTAATGTATTATCTATTGAAAAAGTCAGGAATGGTGTTTTTACTACCATATATTTTCTATTAAACAAAATAATAATTTTAATTTGTACATGAGAATTCCTGTGTTATAAATACAATAATTATAATTGAAAAAAAAAAAAAAAAAAAAAGAAAGTAAAAATAAAAAAAAAAAAAAAAAAAAAAAAAAATATCATTTTTTTTTTTGTGTGTTAGTAGATAAATGGGTGAAGGGCTAGGGTGAATAGGGAGTGAACACTTTGCATTTTAGATGTATCACGTTTCTGTGCTCCCGTCATGTTTCTATGCTCTTTGCATAAAAAATACATAATTGCACATGAAAACGTACAATTTCTTAAAACATTTCCTATTGAATTTTGCTTGGAACTGAACCACCTGAGATTTTTTTACAGCATACACAGTTCCCACCAGATTAACAAAGTTAAAGCAAAATTGTTCCCAATTAATATTTGAGATTGGAGAGTCTCTTTGGACTACCGTACCTTGTAGACTTAAGTTGGGTAGTCAAGCGGTACGACATGGACTTCGCTACCTCCAGCTTTTAATTGTTGTAGGTTTGAACTGTCTAAACTGCACTTTCCCAGCATATCCTTTGAGAACAGTGTTAGGTTATTCTGGTCCATTCGACCTCTGTCCATGCAACAGCATATCTGACACAAAGCGGCTATATTGCTATGTAAAAATACGGTCTTATTAATACCATGATTGGAAGATTCAGCCCACCCTTGCAAGTTATTCAGCCCAGTGAAGCACGAGTCACAGGTTTTTCTGTACCTTTAAAACTGACATTACATCACAACATTAAGCAGGTTGACATCACGATACCAATTGTGTAGCTGTAACAGTAAAGCCTTGTATATTCTGCATTAAGGGCCCCCGTATACTTTGTATATTATGTTCTCCTGGATATAATTTGTCTTCGATTTCTATGACTATGTCTTCCATGTTGTTAATGGTAGGCAGATTAGAGAAAGTGCTAGCGTTATATTAAGTGCCTGGCCTTGAGGGTGCTTGATACTGAACTGTTGTCAACTGAATTAGAGGCGTTATCTATACTTTTTAAATTTACTTGTTCCTTGATCATTATCTATTAATAGTTTGGGAGTCAGCGGTGTTTTTCCCGAATGATCTTTTCTTTGTTGTTGAAAATTTCACTGTTGGCTGGCTAATGATGAAACCAAGGAGTTTCCTGTTTTGTCCGGGTCACTCAGAATTTGACGTAACACCAGCAAACACATCATATGAACTTGTTGATGACTGCGTTAAGGCTTAAGGGAAGTACCGAGAGGTTTGTATCCTGATAAGCCAGTCATAAGGAACAAAGCCTGTATGTCTTTTAGTGTGAGATTTAACACGCTGGTCTTGTGTATAACATTAGGCCAAGACAGACACCCCTAGAGACAGTTGATGTTTAAACCAGGTACCCATATCGTGTACTGCTTATATATTATTTATTAAGTACTACTGCAGAAAGTACAAGGTTGTTGTTATTATACTGTGTTACACTTGTCTATGGAGAATTACCATTGTTGATTGTTTATGTGATTGGTATCATTCTGAAATGACTGTTCTCAGTAATTCTGGACCAATGTCGGAAGAGTCACAAAATAAAGATGTAAGTAAACTAAATTGGTAAACTTATGGATTTTAAATTTATCCACCTTATAATTATTTTAAATTTCAACAATAATGTTTACAGTATTGCTAGGTTAATTGTTTATTTTTTTATTTTATTTTATTTTTTTACTGCGGAAGTTATTCTTTTGACTGATAGGTCCACCCTGGTAAATAAATGTTCTTTTTACAGAGACATTTCTGAGTTCAAGATGTATAGATCTCACAGCGACCAGTAATATGTAAAATACAACTTTGGTAAAAAAAACTTCTGCATGATGTGGGGTTATTTACTTGTATTGAAATATACCAGGATGCTTTGACAAATTTGCCTTTGTGTTTTGGAACTGTGAATTATGAAATGATATTGATGATGTAATTTTTGTATACAATGTCCTAGTGTTAACTATTAGGCTTTCACTTGTGATTACTTGTGACCTATAAATTCTTGAGTATCCTTTGTATTTTAGGGATATAAATTAGATAGTTTACATGTTAAAATTTCTTTTCTCTATTTCGATTTATTTAGGAAAAAATTTGTATGATTTCAGTGCTGGGTATTCATGCATTAAGTTGGGGATATCCCACATAATGAATTTTATATAATTTAATAAGTTCACTCCTCCCAATGTTTATACTTAAATCTAAGCTTAGTACAGTTTTCTATTACAGCCTAACTTTAACTATCCATGTTTAATAACGTCAGTAAATATGTTTACACAGTACACCCTAATCAATAACCTCATTTTTTGGTTATTTTTCGATTTTTTTTAATTATGTAAAATGGTATAGAACTAAACTTATAAGGTATGTTAAAATAATATAATTTAGTCATTAGAATATAGCCCTTTAATAATTGTAGTGAAGAAAATAATTTTAATAGAATGATTGGAAGTTGATTTGGATGCCTAATTGTCTACTCAGTAGTTTTTGTTCAGATTTGAGTACAATAATTCTGCACTGTCACTAAAAAGTGGGATAAATTGGTAGTTTTCGCCGCACGACGTTAACCTTAATGTTAACGTTAGTACCCAACATGCAACGCGATAGCTCCGCCCCTTTTTGTAAACAAATCGAAATACGCATGTGCAAACCCATAACTAACGTACGTCGAGCACGTAAAATCCTGAAATTTACGTACTCTGCAACGTAAGATGGATAAATTATGATGTCATCCGTTAACGTTAAGGTTAACGTCGTGCGGCAAAATTACCAATTTATCCCACTTTTTAGTGACAGTGCAGAATTATTGTACTCAAATCTGAACAAAAACTACTGAGTAGACAATTAGGCATCCAAATCAACTTCCAATCATTCTATTAAAATTATTTTCTAATCAGGAAATAGAATTTCCTGATTAAAATAAAGCTGTTTAATAATGTTAATGATAGTAAAGAAAATTATTTAATATTATGATTGAAAGTTAATTCAGATGCATAATAATATCCTTACTTAGATATATCTTTAATTTTCGGTCATGTATGTTTATTTTATTTATATATTTATTTACTGTAGGCACACAACACATGCAACAAGGATTGTCAATAGCGAATAATATCATCACTGTCCTACATATATGCACACGATGCTTTACACAAACTAAATTTCTAAACTAAAAGTTTTTTTGGTTGCGAGAACAAAATTCTGCAACACTGACAGGAATTGAACCTAGGACCCTGGGATTGGAAGGCAAGCATCTTAACCACCAAGTCATTCAACTCATGTTTAAATAATATTAGTAATTATGTTCGCACAGTAATCAAAAACCTGTTCTCATTTTTTTTAAATTATTTTCTTTGTTTTTTTTTTAAATTTGTATAAAATGGTAAAGGAGACTACTGTAGGTGTGGGATAAAAAATAGAGTTTCTTGATTAAATAAAGCTGCTTAAATAATTAATAATTGAATGATAGTAAAGAAAATAATTTATTAGAATGTTTGATTAATTTGGATGCATAATATCTTTTACCTAGATATATCTTTAATTTTCAGTTATTTATGTAGTTTTTTTTAAGATTTGATTGCATTGTACATTTAAACTAATTGCCATTGGATTGAAATGAAATGAAAGAATGAAATGTGTGATAATAATAGTATTTCCTGATTAAAATAAAGCCATAATATGAACAATATTAAAGAAAACAATATAATAGAATGATTGAAAGTTAATTTGGATGCATAATATCCTTTACATAGTAATTTACAATCATGTAGTTTTTGTTTAGATTTGAATACAATAATTCTGCATTGTTCATCGATATTGCTCATTGTTTTAGCTTAAAACACAAAAGCCAGCATTTTAATTAGGTCACCTTGGCAGCTTTGACCCTTTGTCAGCTGGAATGCAGGTACCATAAAAACTATACTCGTCTCTTTAAGTTATAGTCACATAGAGCTCCTATAATGCAGTATTATTATTGTAGAATGTCTGATGTAACAACCTCTGTGCAGTCCTGTCCACCAGGAAGCAGTGTGGCTAATAACAGGCATGACCTAATAGATGTACGGAACATAGCATAGTGCTCTTCATATTCTGATTAAGGCAAAACTTTCAAAATGTTTACGTGGAATATCCCTCATGCTTAGAAGTAGTAAACTGTTAGTCCATGCATGGATCCTACAGGATATCTTATGCAATGGTCATTATAAATGTCATCGATACCATTCCATGACAGTGCTCATTAAAAATCCATACGAGTTCTATAGGATATCTTATGCAATGGTCAATATTAATATTATAATGCCCTAAATCTCTATTCCATACATAGATACTATAGGAAAGCCCACATGGTCATTAATATTCCATGTATGAATCCTGTATACTCAGAATATTCCATAGATGGATCCTATAGGATAGCTTAGCAATGGTCATTATAAATGTCATGGATCCATAAATCTCTATTCCATGCATGGATACTATGGGATAGCCCATGCAATGGTTATTATTAGTATGTCCGTGATAACAAAATAGGATAATCTATGAATAGGGTAGTCCATGCAAGGACCCATCCCTCCTTCCTCCCTTTCACCTAAATTTTTCAAAATAAAAAAAATGGAGAAAAAAAGGAAATAATAATTAAAATTTTAAGAGTAACATTTTTCCCGGCTATTAAGAGGTTGGATAATTATCCATCAGTAAAAGTCCACCTTCAGCCCCCTCTATTTCAAATTCCTGGATCCGCAAAGTAAGGTAGACTAGAAATTAAGAAGTCTTATAAAAAGTCTTCAGACAGTTTTATTGATCTTTGATAAATTCAGTCCAACTGGAAATGTATTGTACTGTATGGAAGACATTAGTTATTAAGCAAAACATTATTGAAAATCTTTAAAAAAATTAACAGTTAATTACATTTCGTTATTCAATGTCAAAGGGGGCAACAATGACAGGCTTTTTGGCCTTTATTTAGTCTCTTGGCCATCTTCCTGTCACTCCTGTGTTTTCTTTTTTTCCTGATTTATTGTAAATGTTTTGATTGGCCAATAAATGTGACTTAGGACTTTTTATGATTTCGGATTACTTAACTGTGAAGGAAAACGTTTCTGGATTAAAACCTTGAAGTTACAAAAGAAAAATGAGACTTGAGGTTCTAGGTGGTGAAATGAGGTAATGTCTTAGCCCTTTGTCTCATTGTCACACTATTTTTATTCAGTGGTGCCTGGGAGTAGGGGAGGGGATAGTGGTGCCTGGGAGTAGGGAAGGGGATGCAATGTAGCAGCTTGGTGACTTTGGGATAAGCTACTGCAGTACTCAGTGCTAAATTAGTATTTAGTAAATTAGTATTACTGTAGTATGGTCGCATGTATTGTTTTTATTTATTAAGTACAGTATATTTCATACTTATTTTCACTTTATAAAAACCATATTAATAGGATATTTTATTAGAGCAAATTCCACAAAATTGGCTAATATTACAGGCCCTGTTTAACAATATAATATGATATGCTACCCTGTGTACTCGGGGCTTAAGGAGTGGAGACATTTTAATTTTGTTTGTATCTTTCTGCTGTGCTTAGTGTTGGCTGTTGTTTTATCATATTATATGAATACTGTATTAGAGACTGGCACAATCCAACATTCGTGTGTTGACCAGTATTCGATATGTAACATGCGAATATTCAATGCACATTATTGTACCCAAGGGATTTCCAACCTTGCCTTATGAATAATTGTCATCCGTTCGCCTTCACTTTACTAATATGACCGACTTAGATCTAGAAACATGTTTGAATGCAATGGAAGGGGTATTGAAATCCATCCAGTATTATCAAAATAATTAAGTTTTAAATTTATTATATTATATTTTTTATGCTAAATGATACTAAAGGACATCCCGTGAAATTCCCACTAATATCATTTTTGTCTTCACATTTAGTGAATTATTCAAAACATTGCTAAAAATATTAGATATTATAACCGTTGAAGGTACACGGCCCGTGTAACATTTTTGTCATGATGGATTGGGTACAAGGCCGAAGTTTAGGAGGGTGTTTCTTGTTGTAAAAAGATAATCTTTGTGTTACCGGATTTGAACTCGGCACCCTTTGATAGGGAGGTGAGCGCTATATCCATCAAGTCACAGTTCCAGCCCATACTACAGTAATAATAAAATACTATGAAATAATAAGTGGGATTTCTATAATAAGGACATAATACATGGGTCTGTATGCGTTTTATAGTACAATTTATTTATTTTATATTACTCAAATTTATGATAAATAACTTAATAAATAAAAGAATAATATGGATAGGCTTACAAAAGCTAACAAAATTTAACAAAATGTAATTACAAAAATGGATTACCTTATACTTGCATATAAGACAAGGCTTAAAATAGCAAATTACGATTGAAAAACAGGGGGTCATTTTATACACACGACATACTAATTTTAGATTTATTAAGTCAAAACACGTGAATTTACTACTGCAATGAAGCTACTAAATGTTAATATGAAAGAACATAATTTTAAATATGGGGAATTAAGATTTTCATCAACATTTAAA